GTCCCATTCTTCTTTATAATAATGAGGATGCTTGTCTATTAAGTAGGATGAAACTAGTTTCTCGTCCCGTGGGTGTATTACAAATACAACTGCGACTATTACACACTTGTTTATTGTTCTTGTAACACTTTATGAAAGTTATTATTATTATTTTTTATTGTATTGGAATTTGTAAACCCTTTACCTGATTCCTGAAGACATTCGAGACATTTATATATATATATATATATATATATATATTTTTTTTTCTTTTACATATGTAATAAAATAATTATATGTATAATAATTATATATATTCTAACCCTGACCCTCTCTTCCTCAACTAACAATAAGAGTTGATGAATTTTATAAAGGTAATCGTATTGTTTTAGATTCAAAGGAGCTGAGGTTTGTCACTTTTTCTCAGATGACCGAATGTGGTAAAAAACTGACATAATCTATGATTATTTCATGAGTAACAGGTCTTAGGTAGTATACGTTACATGGACAAATAGGAACGCGCGTTCCAAAATTCATTTGCCAATGTAGAGACTCCGTTGGTCATGCAGAAATTCACCACTTCTAATTCCAGTTTCGTAATTCTCAAACCATGGTTCCTTGATATACGCACTGATAAAGAGATCTTAAATTTGTTTCGCGGCATGAATGATTTCTTAACAATCACGATGGCCCACATACATCCGTGGAGAAATCAAGGTCTTAGATCCGGAGGCTGGGTTCGCGGAAACGTTCGTTTCTATGTTAACGCCTTCAAGGAAATGCTTTTGGAAAGATTTCGGATTTGGTAATGCTATAAGTGTACTTGAGGATCATGACAAATTTTTCGAAACACTTCTTTTCGGTTACAATGAATAATATACATTTATGCATCAGAAATGTACTGCGAACCTTTATGCATTTGTATTTTTTAAGAGTCATAAAAAGTAATCTCCGAAACAAATGGAATTTTAAATTTTGCAATATTTCTAATTCACTAAAATAAATCAGCACATGGAAAGTATGTTGACACTCTTCCAAACGGAATCACATTTTTAAAATTGAACCAGATGTCTTGAATTTTGTTCGATGTTAGACTGACTAATTTATCAGACAAACTGGAAAAAAGAGAAAGAAACGCTACTTTTTCAACTTTTTTATCCGACAAAACTATGCGTTTTGTAGCTCTTGATAAGTTATATGTAGACCGTGGATTTTATACGTGTATGGTAAATATCAGTAGGTGTAATTAAAAGAAGCTAACGATGTGGATGTATTGATATGGACTTATTAAAATTATTAAAGGAAGAACAAAATTTGTGATTGGCTTCTATGTCTGGTAGTTGATGCAGGCAATTATTATTTTATATAATGATTTGCAGTCTAGTTATAATTCATGCTGAAAATTTCATCGAGATCTGTTAACATTGTAACGAACTACAAACAATTAAAGATAGTGAAAATTGCAGTTTTTCATGTTCGACATTTTTCAATCTCTGTAACTTGATTTTGCGTCAATCGATTCCGAAGAAATTTTCAACATGCATGTATAAAAAAGTTGGAATGACAGCAGTTTTAAATTTTTGCATCGTTTCAACCAATTGCAATTCTTGTAAGCTATTTTTCACTCATTGTCCTGTAAACTGGTCGATTTAACATCTCAACAAAATTCAAGTCATTTGATCCAATTTTTAAGAAGTTATGTCATTTGTGAGACGTAGACATATTTCCTGTGATGACTGCATTAATTGTAAATTATCGGTATTTAGCTATTAATTTTTACTCGCGGTCTATACAATATTTATTATAATTAATTTCTTTCTTTAGATTGGATTTGTCTCATATATATGTAAAGGGTATTTCGTAATGTAATTGGAACATTTTTAGTGGAACCATTCGTTGCATTATACTAATAAAAAGAAGAGTAAGTAACAAACGTATTTTATGTATCATAGAAGCATTATCAGTCTCGAGAAGGACAACAACCTAACAGGTACATTTCTCGGCCTACTATCGTCTTCTGACCTATTAACACATTATCATTACGTAAGAAACAGTTCTTTAATAGATTCGTGACTAAGCAAAGCATATTTCCAGAAATTAGTGTAATGGAGGGGTGAGTTTCTTATCTTTGAATAATTTAGGCTTGTTAGTAGAATCATTGTATTTTTATTATATGTACAGTAATGTGCATAATTATTGACTCAGAAAGTAAATTTTACATTACTACCGATATCTAAACGAAAACTTAATAAACTATTATATTTGTGTATTTCTATTTTCTATTATTTCTAATATGGAAATATACAAGTATGATATTTTGTTAAGTTTTTTTTAATTATTCTCAGCTAATGGATATCAACTACAGTGCTGTAAATAATTATAAACTCGAAGTAACTTTTACAATGTCACTGATATTATTATTTCGATTATTATTTCGAATATAGGAATATACAAATACGATATTTTGTTAAGTTTTTGTTTAAATATCACTAAAAATGTAAAAGTTACTTTGGATCTATAAGTATTCTCACGACTGTGGGTCAAGAATTTTAATGTGCACAATCAAGTAGTAAGACAGTAATACTACAGTCGAAATATTTAAATAGTTCTGTAACGT